TTTCTTTTTTGTTTATGCCTCAGAGTGCTGTGTTAAGTATTTTGGACAAAGGGTATGAATGAGGATGCATCTGTAGCAGTGAAAGACAGATCATGATCCTGTGTAGAGTAATTCTCTCATTCTTTTCTCCATGTATAAATGTGAAGAAAATTTTATGTGCCAGACATGTTAAATGCTGATATCTGAGCTCTTTCTACATATACAAAGAAATATCCCTAGTTATATTTTATTCTGGGCCTCTTTAAAAAAATTAAATGTGCTATTTTCATAACATTTTCCCTCAAACATTCAAAACACTTAAAAAGTGATAACTCCACTTTTAAACATAATACATTGAATAATAAAATTCCTCAGTAATGTAAAGTTTTTTTTATTTTTACTTTTTTAATAGATAAGAATTAATATTTAAAGTAAGAAAATAAATAACAACAAAATACAAGCTTTAAGAAACTGACATATACCACAAATTTTACAAAGTCTAGAAAACAATCTTTTCATTAATTACCTGAAATGCCTTTATAATATATTACTGCTACATTATTATAAGAAAATTTTAGAAAACTTTCATCAAATTTCTTTCATATGTCAGCTATAAGAGATATATTAAACATTTTAAGTTTCCTATAGGTTTGGTCACAAACAGGGAAATCTGAGAAATTCTATTTCTTATGATTACTATTTTTTAAAAAATTTCTTTTAACATGGGCCTCTCCCTGAGCATCTCACAACATGACAGCTTGCTTCATCAGAGTGTGTAAGCAAGAGGGAATATGAAACAAAGATGAAGACACTGTCTCTTTTGTGACCTAATCACAAAAGTGACATCTCATCCTATTCAGTTGGAAGGGACCCCTGAATACTGCCATCCCAATTCAAGGGAAGCAAATTGCACAGGGCATGAATACCGGAGGTAGAATCCTTGAGAAAGGTATGGAAGTTGTCTTCAAAGTCCCTTCATATGGTGCTCTGGACTCTGGTCTTGAACCTTCCAGTCTTACTGCTGGCTGAGCAGGCACAGTGGGCCACTGGAACACACTGACGATGCCTTAGATAGGGATGCAAGTAACTTCCACACAATCCATTAAACTCAGAGAAAATGGGTGCCCAAACTCAACTGTCCTCATCAAAGTACCACTGGCCACTCCAATAAAACCTTATACAACTGACTTTAACTGACTGCAGTTAATATATCTTATTCTTGCAAATTTTATAATAGTATAACTTTGTAAATACACCTGAAGAAGGTCAAAGAACACTTAAACTTCAGTAATTCCATCATAAATCAGCCTTTGAGCAAAAGACTTCCTTTACTGATCAGGTTGATCCAGAAAAAAATGTTACAAAGGAGGTAAAATTTAGAAATTGCTTTGAAGATCAGTTTTCATTGCTGCATTTAAGTTCCTGAAAAATCACTGTGATTTAAGTTTAAGTAAGCCAATCTCTCTCAAAAAGCTAAAGAAGAGTTTAGGGAAATGTTTCAAAATTGTTCTGTTCTTTTAATACTACAACATATTACATGTGGTTTCATATTATGGAAATTTACTGATCAAAAATGGAAACCAATACTAATCTGGGACTGCTATTAATTTTAGGAAAAGAGTCTTAATCCTAAAGGTACAGTTGCAAAGACTAAGAGTCAAGAAAGTGTTGGGGTTTTTTTGTTTGTTTGTTTGGGTTGGGGTTTATTTATTAAAAACAAAACAAAACTTAGTCAATAAAAGGACTAAGGAACTGAACAGGCACTTCACAGAAAAAGAAATATGAAAAGTCAACAAATATATGAAAAAATGTTCAACATTTTTAGCAATTAGAGAAATGCAAATTAAAACTAAACTGAGATTCTATCTCATTCCAATCAGAATGGCAATTATCAAGAATACAAGTAACAATAAATGTTGGCGAGGATATGGGGGAAAAGGTACACTCATAAATTGATGGTAGGGCTGCAAATTGGTGAAACCACCACTCTAGAAGGCAGTATGGAGATTTCTCAAAAAACTAGGAATGGAACCACCATTTGATAACCACAGTAATCCCACTCCTTGGTCTATATCCAAAGGAGTTAAAATCAGCACACTACAGTGACACAGCCACATCAATGTTTATAGCAGCTCAATTCACAATAGCTGAGCTATGGAACCAATCTAGGTGCCCTTCAACAGATGAATGGATGATGAATATATATACACACACACACACACACACACACACACACACACACAATGGAATATTAATCAGCCATAAAAAGAATGACTTTATGATATATGCCAGTAAATGGATGGCTCTATAGACTATTGTATAAGTGAAATAAGACAATACCAAAAGACCAAAGGCTGATATGCAAATGTTAACACACAACAAGTGATGGAGGGGAAGAACAGAAGTTCAGTGAATCGGACAAAGGGGAATGAAGAGAAAGGAGGGGTGCTAGGAATAAGAAAGACAATAGAATGTATTGGACATAACTTTCCTGTGTACATACATGAATACACTCTACTGTCATGTATATCTAAAAAAGAATAAAACATATTATTAATAAGATTAAAAATAAAAATAAATAAAGGAAGAAGCAAAAAGGGGGAAAAAGACCTTTGTCTCCATATCATTCCTTAGCTATTGTTTCATTTCTTCTCCTACATAGCAAAACTTCTCTAGAGTTCTCAGCATACCACATCTTTATATTCTAATCTCCCATGTATTCTCAATGTAATTTTATTATAATACAATCCAAATACACAGAAAAACACACTAATAATACAAAAATGCATAGCTACTAACACCCATCTTTACACATTTTTTTTTATAGTGCTGGGGATTGAACTCAAGGGTGCTCTACAATTGAGATACATCCCCAGCCCTTTTAATTTATTTTTTATAGTTTTATTTTTTTGGGGGGTACTAGGGATTGAACTCAGAGGCACTCGACCACTGAGCCACATCCTCAGCCCTATTTTGTATTTTAGAGACAGGTCTCACTGAGTTGTTTAGTACCTCGCTTTTGCTGAGGCTGCCTTTGAACTCTGGATCCTCCTGCCTCATCCTCCTGAGCTGCTGGGATTACAGGTATGTGTCACCGTGCCTGGCTATATTTTTATTTTTTGGTAATCATGAATTAACCCAGGGGTGTTTAATGACTGAGCCACATACCCAACCCTTTGTATTTTTTATTTAGAAACAGGGTCTAACTAAGTTGTTTAGGTCCTCAGTAAGTTGCTGAGACTGGCTTTGAATTTATAACCCTCCTGCCTCAGGCTCCTGAGCTCCTGGGATTACCAGTGGGTGCCAACACCCAGATGCCCCTTTTTATTTTTTATTTTGAGACAAGCTCTTGCTAAGTATCCTAAACTGACCTTGAACTTGGGATCCTCCTGCCCCAGCTTCCCAAGAGGCTGGGATTATATGTGTGTACTACCACATCCAGCAAAACTTCTAAAATCCAAGAAAAGCACATAACAAATTCAAGAAGTTCAAAGAACATCAAGGAGGATAAAACACCCCCCAAAATCATATCAAGATACATTGTAACCTGCTTAAAGTCAAAGACAAAGAGCAAAAGAAAAGCAGCAAAAGAAAAGCAATTCATCAATATATAATGGGGAGCTGTAGCTCAGTGATAGAGTGCTTGCCTAGCATGTGTGAGGCACTAGGTTTGATTCTCAGCACTGCATATATATAAATAAATAAAATAAAGTTTCATCAACATCCTAATATACACATATATGAATATATATATGAACTTCCATAAAATTATCAGAGGATTTCCAACCTTGCAGGCCAGAATAATAGTATGAGACATTCAAAGGCCTGAAGGGAAAAACAAAAATCTTTCAACCAAGAAAGTTTGCAGTGTTCAACAAAACTCTCCTTCAAAAGTTAAAGAAAAATAGTAACTAGAAGAATATCTCAGAGATAGACACACACACACACACAAAAAAAAAGAAAATAAGAAAAATAAAGCTTGTCACTACAAAATATCAGTGAAACATAAGAAGGCAAAAAGAAAGGACAAAAAAGAAACAAGACATAGAGAAAACAATAAGCAAAGTGCCAACAGTAAGTCCTTCTCTATCAGTAATTACTTTAAATGCAAATGAATTTATTTCCCAATATAAGATTGGCTAAATGGGTTAAGCAAAACAACATCTTGGGCTGGGGATGTGGCTCAAGCGGTAGCGCGCTCACCTGGCATGCGTGCGGCCCGGGTTTGATCCTCAGCATCACATACAAACTAAGATGTTGTGTCTGCCAAAAACTAAAATAAATAAATAGATAAATATTAAAAATTCTCTCTCTCTCTCTCTCTCTTTCGCTCTTAAAAAAAACTTACTATATGGGCTATCTATAAAGCTCACTTTAGATCTAAGGATACACATAGGCTGAAAGTTGAAAAGACAGAAATAGATTCCAGGCAAATGTTAAAAAATAAATAAATAAAGGAATCAGGGTTGTTATATTAATATAAGAATAGACTTCAAGTAAAAAAATATTACAAGAGACAAAGGATACTATAAGATAAATCTCATGTTAAGCCACGTCTTTCAAAATTCAAGATGACTGAAATTATATAGAATATATTTTCCAATCACAATGGAATTAAAATAGAATTTGAAAGCAGAAAATCCACAATGTATAAAACAAAGTGCTTTTTGAATCTGTAATGTTTCCCAAAAGCTCATGTGTTAAGAGAAATGCAACAATGTCTAGAGGTAGGACTTTTAGGAAGCGACTGGATATGAGGACTACAACCTCATCAGTGGATTAATCTACTTGATGCATTATTATTTGAATGGACTACTGGGTGGTATAGTAGGCAAATGAGGTGTGGTTAGAGGAAGTGGGTCACTGGCGGCATACCCTTGGGTACTTCACCTTGTCCCTGGCTGCTTTCCCTCTCTCTTCTGCTTTCTGGCTGCCAAGAGCTGAGCAATATTCCTCTGCCATGCCCTTCTGCCATAAAGTTCTGCCTCACTTTAGACCTAAAGAAGTGGAGCCAGCCAACCATGGACTTTAAGTCTGTGAAACCACAAACCAAAGCCAGGCACAGTGGTGTATGTCTATAATCTTTCTGACTCAGGAGGCTGAGGCAGGAGAATTGCAGGTTTCAGGTCAGCCTCAGCAACTTAGCAATTTAGTGAGATCTGATGCCACAGAAATAAAAAGGATAATAATACAATACTATGAGCTACTGTAGGCCAACAAATTAGATAACCTAGATGAAATGGATAAATTCTTAGAAAGGGGTGACTAGAGGTATACAATCTACCAAAACTGAGACATAAAGAAATAGATAATCTGAGGCCTTGGCTCGCTTCTGCGCCACCTTGTTTTCACCTTGCAGGGACCCACTGAGCTCGCCCCGCCCCACCCCGCCCGCAGACAGTCCGAGACCAAGAACAGCCCCGAGTACGCTTGGTCCTTGGCGATCATGGGCGCTTCGTCTGCCATAATCTTCAGCGCCCTGGGTGCCTCCTATGGCAAGGCCAAGAGTGGCACCGGCATTGCAGCCATGTCAGTCATGAGGCTGGACCTGATCATGAAGTCCGTCATCGCAGTGGTCATGGCTGGGCTCATGGCCATCTACGGCTTGGTGGTGGCAGTCCTCATCGCCAACTCCCTGAATGATGGTATTAACCGCTCCAGGAATTTCTTCCAGCTGGGTGCAGGCTTGAGCGTGGGCCTGAGTGGTCTGGCAGCTGGCTTTGCCATTGGCGTTATGGGGGATGCCCGTGTTCGGGGCACTGCCCAGCAGCCCTGCCTGTTTGTGGGCATGATCCTGATCCTCATCTTCGCTGAGCTGCTTGGCCTCGATGGTGTCATGGTGGCCTTCATACTTTCCACAAAGTAGTGCCTCAAGCTCACCAGCCACAGAACACGATGTAAAGACCACCCCCTCCTCATTCCAGAATGAACAGCCTGGCACACGCTAGGGCAGCCACCCCCTCCATAGTTGGTCTTGTAAACGCGCAGTGTCCTAGTGCCCATCATCTGTTGCCCGGCCTGGCTCCTTCTTCCCCATGCTGTGGACATTTGGCCCACTCATATCCCATCCAGGCCCCTGACCAGTGAGCATGCCAGCCTCCGGCCCCCGACCTCTGCCCTGGAGTACTCTGTGTGTAAGGATGAATTAGAGTTGTCATTTTTCTCTTCACTGGATGTTTATTTATAAAAGTTTTGACCTCTTCCTGTGTCTGTGGAGCAACTTCATCTCCCAATTATATAGTACACTTTAGGTAACATGTTGCCCTGTGGGCCCCCCCTGCTGAGACTTTTTGGATGGAACCTCCCCTTGCGCCTGGTATCCGGTTGGGGGCAGAAAGCCAGCCACCAGGTTTTGGCGCCCAGCTGTGTCCAATAAAGTTCTCGG